TAATCCCTGACCAACTAGATCCAGGTATATCATTGTAAACACCAGTTCTTATTTTTTTCTATTTAAGTCCACTGTCTGAAATGTCCCAAAATGTGAAAAAAAAAAAAAATCTATAACTGGGTTCCTCAAAATGTAATCAGGAACATTGGCATCATCTAGGAGTCTGCTAAAAATGCAGACTCTTCCCCTACCTCAATCTGATAATCAGAATCTTCATTTTAAAAAACAAAATCCCCAGGGATTTCTACCCTCATTTAGCAGCACTACTAAATGAATTGTGACCTAAACCAATTAACTACAAAATTAAAATAGACACCAGAAATTCCTTCAAAATCATTTTATATGTGCAACAAAAAAATCTCATTTATCTTCTCTTTCACATTTAGGACAGCCAAATAGAAATGACATTATGATGATTAATGCATATATCTATATTACTACTAATAATATAAAAATAGGTTTAAATAACAATATTTATTGTTGATTGTATTTACAGCAAATGTTTTCCACAAAAACTCTAAACAGATTTTTTTTTTTTAATTTTTAAAATGGTTGCATTGCTCAGGAGTGAACCCAGAGCCTCATACATGCTAGGCAGACCATTTATCACTGAGCTACATTCCCAGTCCTTTTTATTTTACTTTCAGTTTCACAAAGTTGCCCAGACTGGGTTTGAACTTATGATTCTCCTGCCTCAGTGCAGCTGTTTGTGTGCCACAGTGCACCACATCAGATTATATTTAAATGTGATAATTTATTTTGTGTGTGTATGATACTAGGGATTGAATCTAGGGCTTCACTTTAATGCTAGCAAGTGTTCTACCACTCAGCTATATCCCCAGCTAAATATTTTATTTCTTAACAGAAGCATGGAAAAGTTCCAATGAGTCAATATTAAACACATACCACTTAACCAGAAATACTTAATTACACCATAACCTGCCAGAAGGACATCTAAATTCTCCTGACCAACTGTATGAAGGAAGTGAAATTAAAATACCAAACTGAGGGGCTGGGGTTATGGCTCAGCGGTAGAGCGCTTGCCTCACACATACGGGGACCTGGGTTCAATCCTCAGCACCACATAAAAATAAATAAACAAAATAGAGGTATTGTGTCCAACTACAAGTAAAAAAATATTAATAAATAAAATATTAAACTGAAAAAAAATATTCTCCTGACTAAACTGAGGTACTTGAATAACAGCCAAATAAGCAAGTACCATTATAATCAGTAAGTTCAAATAAAGACAATTCATTGTGATAGTATTTTAATTAATATAAAACAAAATTTTCAAAATGATGTAGCCGATAATAGTAATGGCTTTTTGAAATAATATTAAATTCTGTTTAACCTACTTAAAAATACCTAGGCAAATAAAATTCAAAGAATTTCTGGCTGATAAAATTAATCTCCCAGGGTTGGGGCTGTAACTCAGTAGTAGAACACTTGCCTAGCATGTGTGAAGCACTGGGTTCAAACCTTAGCACCACATAAATAAAGGTATTGTGTCCATCTACAATTTTAAAAATGTATAAAATTAATCTCCCAAGAACATCTGATGGAAATGTTTATAAATTCTATTAAGAGGTTATGTGAAAAATGAGAGCTCTGACAACAGTGGTTTCAGATTTAAGGAAATATTTTTTCTTTTGCATATGTGAAAATGTGAGGCTGAGCTCTTTTTTCATCAATGCTACTCTACCTGACAATACTGATTCTCACCTTCATTTACTCTTGTAGAAAATGATTAAAAAATTATTAAACTCCACATTATTTTAAAAGGATCTCACTATGTTGCCCAAGTTGTGGGTTAAAGTTATCTTCCAATCTTAGGTTCCTGAACAATTAGGAATATAGGCTACTACAAAGACCCTTCCTAACTTCTTTTTATTGTTGTTTTTAAATACTTATTTTTTAGGTGTAGTTGGACACAATACTTTTATTTATTTATTTTTATGTGGTGCTGAGGATCAAACCCAGAGCCTTGCACATGGTAGGCAAGCTCTCCACCACTGAGCCACAACCTCAGCCCTGTCCCCTTCCTACCTTCTTAATAATTTGACAAGCAAGCCTAAAAGTCACCAGTTGGTAATTTTAAGTGAAATAGTTCAAAGAAACACTCCTCTTGTTCATTAGTTTTTATTTATTTTTACTACCCACTTTATTTACTTACTTCACAGTACTGGGGATTTAACAGAGGTACTACTCCCAGCCATTTTACTTATTTTTTTAAAAATTTGAAACAGGGTCTCAATAAATTAGTGAGACTGTCCTCTAATTTGAGATCCTTCTGCCTCAGCCTCCCAAGTTGCTGGAATTTTGGAATTTTGGAGTTTGCCAAAAGGTCTGACTTATTAGATATTTTTCCCACTTTCAGGAAATGTCTGCACATGATTGTGATTTCAGTCACAAATTTCTAAACACAATAGAAATGTCATTTTTTTCATAGCTATTAAGGCAGGAGATATTCCCCTATATAAGTATAATACACTCTACAGGAAAATACCTAATAAAATCTTACTTCTAAAAATAATCTAAATAATTTCAGGGTTAGCCATCAATACAGGTTAAATTCAAAATGTTTGTAAGAGCAACTTTCGTTTTTTGTAAAAAACATACCATAAATAAGTGAGCTGCCCCATCAATCTCCATCCTTCCTCTGGCTCAGCCAACATTTAAATTACTCAAATGTAGATACTTCTGGTGTTAGACCATTCCTTTGTTTCAGTGAGTGATACTTTGATTTTGGGACACAAGGGAAAATTTATAAAACAAAAAACTCTGGAAAATACCTATATTTTGTCTTTCTGATCCTTAAACAACAGGATAATCACTGTGCTTCCCCCCAAACTCAAATTTATTTGACAGTCTTCATTCAGGAGATAGGGTACTACTCAGAAGACTGAATCAGGAGGATCCCCAATTCTAGGGCCAGCCTAACAAATTAGTGAGATCCTCTCTCAAAATAAAATTCAAAAGGGCTGGGGATATGGCTCAGTGGTAGAACACTGCCTAATATATATGAGGCCCTGGGTTTGATCCTAAGTACCATGCAAAGAAAGAGTGAGAAAAAGACAAGGCAGACTACATCACTACTCCTTCTTAATTATTACTTAATTTGTCTACAGATCATCAGGTCCCTAACATCTTCCTAAGTCTTGTTATGAATGCAGCATTTGGAGGAATAGGTATATTGTGGAATGAGCACCTTACTTCAAGTAAATTTCCATTTTGAGCTGCAGAACTTCTACCTTTTTGACTGATGAGGAATTAAGTACTTCCTCAAGGAAAATGATATTGAAAAACTAGTGTATTAAGGTGACCTGCAAGAAAATTGTATTAATATGAAAAAAGAAATGTTGTAATGTTTACTTTAAATAGAGAACTTCTCGCATGGTACTTAAAATGCACACTGGTAGTATTTCTCAATCATATATCCAAACTCTAACAACCTTCCTCAAATCTTCCCCCTCACTCCTTTATAACTTCTTCTCTTGTAGCATGTCATGTCAAGGTTTCGAATAAAAAGCCTCCTGAAAGTACTGCACAAGTGATTCTATTTGCCTTCCTCTAAAAGTTTTCTAGGATCATATTTAATGTGGCTGTGCCACAATTTCCTCAGAAAATCTTTTTGGCAACCTGTCATACCAAAGCCAACATTTCTATCTGACACCTGTAGACCCAGGACTAATCCCAGCAAAGGTACTTTCTGACAATTTAAAAATCCAGGAATTCAGCCCTTTTATTTCTGATATGCTACTCCATCACTACCCTCCTTCTAATAGGTACCCAATATCTGTAATACTGAATTTGAGTACAGGAATTCCATTTGATTAAAACATCCTCAATTATACAACTACTGCATCTGTTTTGCACAATTGAACCCATCACACCCCACCCAAAATCACCAACACAACATTTTGAACATGTTAAATTTTATTAAAAATATTAACATCGTACAAATATTCCAATACAGTTATGGTACACGAACACTGTACCAAAAGCATGTTTTTTCTTAAAATCATGATTAAATGAAAAAAGTTCTTGTAAATGTCCCAATTTGGATATTGCTCATGTTACTGTATGCATACCAGCAATTTAATGTTTGCAGGAGCTTTCAGTCCAATTGTAGAAACATAGTACTCAATACCAAAATAAGCACATGTAAGTACAATTCTACCTATGTTATTGAACAGGTTAGAAAAGACCCTATGCCCAACTTTCGTAAGTGAGAAATCAAGATAAGCAATGTTTCATAGGATCCTGACAAAGTTCTACATAAAACATCCCTTATTTATTTGAGCAATTTAAGTTTTCCCACAAAATGCCTTCTTTGTTTTTGGTCCCATATGTATTTTGTTGTAAATGTATTAAGTCAACAAGTCTGAACTGCATTTCTCTTTTTTTTTTTCTTTTTTCTTTTGTGGTGCTGGGGATGGAACCCAGGGCCTTGTGAATTCCAGGCAAGCACTTTACCAACTGAGCTATATCCCCAGCTGTATTGCATTTCTTATCTTATACAAACTCATTGGAATTATTTGACGTTTCTATCTCTTACCGTAAAACTTCCAAGGAGCATGCTTTTCTTTAGTTCAATCTTAAAAGTTCTATACTCTGATTTTTTTCCTATTACTGATACATGCATAAAATGTGCCAGAAGAGAAGCAAAGCACTTTAACACAACACTGCAATTCTTAAAAGTATACGTTCATTGTAGTGCGTACAGCTAATCTACAGCAAACTTACAGATAAAGATTTCTATTCACAATGCTTACTAGCACATGTTAACACCTAACAAATTCTTTTTCTACAGTAATATCACCAACCAATAAAGGTAATGCTCTATACTTAGGAGGTTCTTTAGACATATAAATCCATAATTACTTTAAATAAGTGCTTATATCATAATTATTTTTATATGGTATCGACAGAAATGCCTAGTTATTAAATTTAATTTTTGTCAATTTATATTTAACCATCGTGAAATACCTTATAGAATGTGAGGAATTTTTAGCAATCATCTAAATTTTGAATCTTAATTCTACATATATCTACTAATCTTACCAGTTAATAAGTTCCTTATATTTTTGTGTGCTAGGGATTGAACCCAGGGCCTCTAACAAGCTAAGCATGCACTTTATTACTGAGCTATATCCTAAGCCCCAAGTTTGTTTCTGTTAATATTCAAGGTCTTAAAATTTTGGCAATGTATACCCTCTTGACCAACAGTCAGACAGTCATTATATCAATGTATCTCTAAAGTAACACAGCTGTTGTCTGTCAAACTGCTAAAACTTTTAGGTTTAATTTTACAATGTTAAAGTTTTGGAGAATTTAAAATATATATATCTTCTTGTGTTTAAACCAAATATGTCGTCTAGTTTAAACCCTCCAGTCTATCATACCTTCTGTTTTTACTACAATTTGTGTACAATGACATTTATTATGATGCATTATATACTACCCAATAAAAATATAGTAAATATATTAGAGGGACAGAAATCATAGTACAATAAGTCAACTTTATGGTCTCTCCAAGATTCCTTTTAAGATTGTAAGGTGTCTGTCTTGATTGCTTAAAATATACCCTGAGTATTTCATTACTTCAGTACTTGCAGGCCTTTCTTGCTAAACAGCTGCTAATCTAAGAATAAGTGAAGTATTTATTATATGTTCCTAATAAGAACAGATTTAATATTACATAATCTATTTTTCTACAAGTCCAAGGTAACTGCCCACTTATAGGATATGGGCATTCTCCCACACTTAGTGCCCCACTACTGATTTAAAAAAAAAAAAATAGAAAAAAAAAGTTCTTACCAATAATTCCACTGGTTATCGTCCCCAGCGAACCCCACCTAGCAAGTCGACATCATGACATGTCAGGTCAGGGCAGCCTCAACCTCGCTTCCCTGATAGTCAGGTGATAAAAGGAAGGAGTTAAAACAGGAAAAGTACACTTGCAGATTTCTGGATAACATCTGAAAATGATTTTAAAAAAACAAAACAAAACAAAACAAAACCAGAGCTTCTGGTAACCTCTAAATAAAAAAAATATGTATATATATATATATATATATATATATAATACATATATTTAAAAAGAAAAAAAATCTTCTATAAAGATTACCAGTAACTACTTAAAATTAATTATTCATGTTAAGTTAATGACAAATACATTAAATAGGCAGCATTTTTATAGCCTGATGTTTGCATTTCAAAAGACCTAATCAACAAACTTGCAATGTAAAAGTAAATGTATCTGGTTAATGGATTTGTTATTCTGAATTCTCCAATAGTCATCCAATCCACTGGCTAGCTTGTAACAACTCAACTCCTAAGTTAACAGAAGCTCTCATTCTTAGAGAAACAAAAACACACTTATAAATCCAGTGTACTCTTTCTATAAGGCTTTTACTTAGCTGTTCACTTAAGAGACTCCACATAATAAAGGACAACACAAACATTTACTGTAATTGATTTTAAGAATACTAGATAGCTCAGTATAACGTTCTATCTAGAAAATCAAATTGGCAATTTTTAACATAATTATACGTTGTTTTAACTAACAAAAATAGCCTTATAGCAAGTATTTACTGGAAGGGTTTGGTTTTACAAATACTACACAATTAATAAAACATAGGTATGATTATTTTCAAATGGGCAGGAGGCAATGATGTAATGAGTTTCAAGAATTAATATGGCTTTATGCTAGAAGTGGAATTTTATATCCTTTCTCTATGTAATTTAAAATATATAATTTATTCTGATGCATGCTGACCTTTATAAGAGGTTTACCTCCTAAATCAGAGTTCAAAATCAAGTGAGAGAAAAATTACCTACTACTAACAGAAAGCATTGGGCTTTCTTTTGCAGAATAACTCCAGTAACTCAGAAAACTGAAAAACAATCGTACTTAACTACTTTGTTTAAAAAAAACTAACTACAGAACCATAATTCGTTTTTCTTATCTTTTGATCAAGTAAACTTGAATTTATTGGAAATCTGGCAACTTATTAGAACTTTTTTGCTTTTAAGTAATTAAAATACCTTTATATAAATACAAACATTTAAGCAACTGCTATAAATGAGTGATCAAATAAAAATTAGCATTTTCATTATAGGGGTGGGGTATATTTGTCAATATTAGGATTCCTACAAAAAGAGGTCTACCTCAATATAGTTATAGTTTCCAATAAACACTTTAGTATAACAGGCTCAACAGCCTACTCAATTAGGTTGGGGGCGGAAAAAACACAGAAATGTAGACTAGGAAGCCAATTTACTCAGAACTTTCAATTTGCCCCTATTAAAAAACAAAACAAAAAAATACTCTACCACAAATCTAAAATAAAGACTTTCCTCAGGTTTATACATTATATTGTTAAGATTTATTTCTGTAAAAAATTGCGCTCTGAATTTATTTTCTCTCAATGCTGCTACAATAATTTATAAGACATCAAAAAAGAAAAGCTCTAAGTGACACGTTTACATATGTTTTATAGTCAATTAAGTAAAAAAAATATTAGAGGACATCTCTGCAGATAGATTTTTAATTGGTGAGGGACAGACAAGGAAGTAGTCACTTTAAAATTCAAAATATAACTTGCAATTAAAGATTTTGACATGGAACCCAAGTTCTTGTTTTTGCTTAGAGTTTATATTTTAGGTTGGGTAAGAGAAGCACAATAAACTTTTTCAGAATTACTTCTATTTCCATTCCTAATTTTCTTCATGACAACTTTGCAGCTTGTAACATCTAAGTTTTTAGAAATGTAAACAACTCAAATTTTATTTGTAGAAAAATCAGGGTTTAAGGTCTAATTTAAAGATTTACAGCTTCATTTTGTATTTTCAAAATTTAATAGCAGCATTTAAAGATGCTTGTTGTCTTTACTTGCAGACAGGGGCATAAGAAAAACAATTAAACCTAAACCTTACTGAATAACACCCATGTTAACTTGGAACTCAACAGACCATGTTTCCAAAAAAATAAAAGAAATGATAATAAGGCCTGTTAAATTACTATACTGTTTTGAGTGAACTTTGAAAAAGGAATGAGATATATTGACTTTCATCAGCAAGCTAATTTTTTATTCAAAATGAAGAGAAGTCATGAAACTCAAAATGTGATCTAACTAAGCTCACAAGGTATTAAGTGGCTTATGATTTTGAAATCTAATATTGCTATCACAAAAGGCACCAAACAGGAACAAAACAAAATAATGGTATAACCATTTTAATTATTTCCCAATGGAGTATATTTTTATTAATAAAAAAATATTTTAGAGGGGCTAAGGATGTAGCTCAGTGGTATAGTTGCTTGCTTAGCATGAACAAAACCCTGGGTTTTCATCCCCAGCTCCAAAAGAAAAAAAAAATTAGAACCATCTAAGACTAAAAGGGATGGGAAAATGTGATAGTAACTTGAAAGTGACCCAGAATATTCTGCACTATAAAGTTTACAGTCTTTTGTTCTTCTCATTCTCAAGCAAAAATGTCATTAGAATAAATAGGAATTTTTAAAGGAAACAGGGAAATGTTTTGACTTGGCTAGCAAAAAATTTAGCCATTAGAGATAGTCAAAATATAAAAATAAAAGAAATACAGAAAGTCAGAGGTATAACTACTAGATATTTAAAAGCCTCTTATAAGCATGACTGAATCCCAAAGCAAATTTACATGGCAATAGGAAATTATATTCCTAAACCAGTAACTGAAGAGGTAGTCACAATCACGTATACTAAAACTGAAGTTTAGTGCGCAGTGCAATTGACGCCACAGTACTAACAAGTTTCTTTGTATGTATGTTTACTTATGCACAAATAAGGTCTGCAGCCACAAATTATCCTAAGAATGTGGGTCAAAGTAAATTGCAATCTGCTTTCCCAGCCCCATTTACTTGTTTTAATGTGAATTATCCAATGCCTGCAAAAATGTTCAAAAACCTTCCGAACCTGTTTTTTTAAATAAAGAATAGAATTTCAAAATTAGAAAAGATTATGAGAGAACACCAATCAATCAATGCTATTTGGAATACTTGAATTTAGACTAACTCTCAGTCTGACAGCCACAATACATGTTGGAATAGACAAGAAATTTTGCATGAATTTGATCACTCACATAGGCAGTTATAATTTGAAAACAATATTCCTTGCAAGGATTACGAATAAAATAATGTTTTAGGACACAATTGAATTTGAAATAGGTAATGTTTTGAATAGATTTTTGAGTTTTATTGAAATCTTACATGAACAAGAAATTGGAAATACAATCACATCAAAGAACAAATTGTCACGGCTTTGACGTTTAAGCCAAACAAATTTTGTAGGGCAGATTTCAAAAAAGTGTGAAGTTATAACAATTTAAAAACACAGTTAACCTACTTCTAGGAATGCAAAACATACAATCATAGGTTATTTTCAATACAAGAAAACTTAAATTTGTTTGCTTTAATTTCTTAAAACTACTAAGACAAAGCACTAGCTTGTATTTTTATTTACAGCATACTTCATACTCCTATGTATTCTATCCCAAATCAAAAAAAAAAAAAAAATATATTGAAACTGTCCAAACCAAAGGTTCTGTAAAATCATGATTTAACAGCTTATTCTGAAGCTAAAATGAAGCCTGAAACGATAAAAGCATTGTAATCCCCAGAATAAGGGAACTCTGCAAGCTCAATAATGTCCAAGAGCATTTATGAAAAGAAGAAAAATAAAAAGACTTGAGTATATACACAATAGTGATTTCTTCAGCCCAATACAAATGGCAGCAAATTGCTACTTAAAGATGAAACCGATAAGCCAATTATTTTTTTTGAAGAATGTAGATCTAGAGCCAATCGTATCTTGCCAGTATCATTTTCAAGCCCTCACTTGTCTATTTCCACTGTTGCCCATAAGTATCCTGATAAAACTCCTGGTTGTCATTATTGTAACCATAGTTACCAGAATAGTCACCACCTTGCTGAAGCGGTTGCTGAGCGATGGGTTGGGAACCCCAGTTCTGTTGGTTGTTGGTCTGACGACGCTTGGAATCAGGTTGGTTGTACCCATCTGCCTTTCTCTTGCCTCCTACATTGCCCCCACGATTGCCCCGAGCTCCACGGGAACCACGGCCTCTCTGCTGTTGTGCAGGACCCCCTCTACCACCCCTAGAGCCTCTTGGTGGTCCCAAAGGTGCCCCCCTCTGTGAATAGCCAGCTCTACCTCTTGGAGGTGGTGCTCCCCGCCCCCTTGGTGGTGGTGGAGCACCTCGCCCTCCCCTTCCTCCTCCTCTTCCTCTTACTGCATAGCCATCATCATAGCCGTAGTAGGGGTCTTCATAGCCGCCACGATAGTCGTGATAATCATAACCATAGTAATCATCATAGTAATCTTCATAGCCATAGTAATCTGGAGGGTAGCCATATCCACCTCTCCCTCCACCACGACCTCGACCTCTAATTGGAGGTGGCATTCGAGGGGGAGGGTGATAATAATAATCTTCATACCTAGCAATGAAGTGAAGGGAAAAGAGGAAAAAACCAATCAGTTTACATCAAGAATCTTTCAGACAGTAGAATGAAATGGACATAACATTGTTATGTTCATATATGAATACATAACCAGTGTAACTCCCCATCATGTACAACCACAAGAATGGGAAGTGATCACCATGTTATGAATAACATGTAAAGATACACTCTATTGTCATGTATAACAAAGAACAAATTAAAAAAAACCCCTTTCTGAATTTTTATTAATCATTATATAACCATTATCAAATTATTCCTCGTTTAACGACACATTTATTAAAATATAGACTCACGCAGTGCTTCTGGAGGCCTGTCTAGCAGCCTGGCGTTCTTTCCTTTTCTTATCTGGAGGTTTAGCTAAGACTATTTCAATTTCTTCCCCTTCTATTTCTTTTCCATTCATTTCATCCATGGCCTAAACAAAATTAGAAAAATAAATTTATTTTATAAGAAACAATATTTTTAAACGTAACCTAAGTGTTACTTAATATATTTAGTAAACAATCTTGTAATTATTTTAATTTGCAAAAAACAATTTAGTCT